GCTAGGCAAGCTGATCTCTGTAACTTCAAGACAAGTCTCATCTACAGAGAAAATTCCAGGACAGCCAAGGCTACACCGAGAAACCCTGTTCCCAAAATACAAGAAAGAAAAATAACAATCCATAAAGTACTCAAATACTTTCAAATGCATTAAACAAAATGAAAATAAAAACACATGTTATTTCATATTTCTGAAATGTGTTTAAGTTATTTTTGCATAGGAACCAAAAATTCAGTTTTTTCTAAATAAGACAATTCAAAATCCAATGATACCATGTCACTAGCATTTCTGGAACTAGAGGAAACAATAGCAATCTGATGGTGATGGGTGTTCTGGGAGCATAATTCCATTTTACTATGCACAAAATGGGTGTGGGAGGGATTGTTTTATAATCATGGAGCCAAATCAGGCGATTTCAAGGCCTGACTCCCTGCCTCACTCCTGCTTCTTAGCAACTCATTGTTTTTCTAAACCACAGATTCTTTTCACTGCATAGGCTAATCAGTCACTTAGCCAACCAGCACATCTCTGTTGTTTAACTAATGTAGGTAGCCTTCAGAACAACTAAATAATAACACTGGGCCTGATAAGCAATGAAAACAATTATTTGTTTAAAAACTAATTATGATATTTTATCAACAAATTTATGCTTGGAAAAACTAATGAATTCATCTAGTTGCCTTAAGTTCTTAATAACATGCATAGCTAAAATATTTTCAGTTTTGTTTGTTATTCTGTAGAATTTTTATGCCCTCTAGCTACTTTTTTGGATTCAAGAAAACTTTTAAATTTCCAACTTTTCTTTCTACTCTGATTATTTTGGAGTAAGAAGTTAACAGTTATTATTGAAAGGCTCTAAGCAATTGACCCAATTGGCAACGTAATTTTCATTTACTAGAATGCAGAAATAACAGCACTCTTAAGGACTGGTATTGAGCTACTTGAAAGTTATAATGTAGCTGGCATTTAAATACACTTCATGGCTAAAATGAGGAAATAGGGAATTCTTTTCAAAGTATTAATGTCCTAGACCAAATACCTTCTTATATATGCACACTTGCAAGCTGAAAGAGAAAAGGCTCTAGCAGACTGGCATTAGCCAAAGAATACCTGTTGCATACAAATTTTTGTTCTCAAAGGACAAAGAGTTATTTACTCCCTGAAATGTAAATAAACCATACTATATATTATTCTTTGTTAAGTCTCAGGAGTGCCTCTCTATTCATACAGATTGCCATTCACATCAATTAAAATATGATAAATGTAGCAGAGATTGCACAAAGGAGAAGGAGAAAATGAGAATATTAATTGGATTTCTGATCTCTCTTCCACATCTTTTCTTTTTAATTTGAGAATTACTGTAACTCTCCTATACTGATGATTTTTTTTCCTGTAAAGATAATAATGACTACTATAACACGGTGGCATATGTGCTCATGTGTGGAATTAATTTCATTACTCATCTTATAAGCTTACCCTTTCATTCTCCTTGCCCCACCTCTCTCTATGTATTATATTGGTGATGGTAATTCTATTATCTTTCAAATGAAGAACTAGTATAAACCTGTTTATTCATGGTTTGGGAACACATTTTAGTACCTCTGCAGTCACAGAGCATGCCACATCACCTCATTTAGACTCAACTGACTTTCCACTGCCCCATCTATAAGTCAGTTTTTGACTTGCTGTTAATTTTTCATGACTTTTATTAAACATATGAAACATAAAACCATCTTATGTGTTCTTCCATCACAGTTCATCTGTAGGAGTTTAAAGAAGTGTCAGAATGTGCTGTCTCCAAACATTCAACTTTAGGCTAAGATCAATTTTATCTGAGCATAATGGAGATTAAAAACAAAAAAAGGTCTGGTAAAGTGCATTACTCCTTTGCATTCCCCTAACATT